GTACCCCATCGGCTCAGGTCAAGACGTCAACGACCTGGCGGCACGGCAGCACTCTCCAAGTCGCCACAAAGGAAGGCCACAGACAAATTGTGCAACTTTTGGAGCCGTGACAGCCCGCACTTGCTGTAATTACGGACAATGTTCCATCCCCAGCCGAAGACAGGAAAGGGAGTTTGTGAATGCGGCCGGCTCTGCGGCGGTGTGGAAGGCTGTGAGCAATCGGCCATATCCCGTGCGCCCTTGCGTACCGAAAGTGCGGAGACAGATGGGACAGATGGGCTCCACAACCCCGGCCAAGAAGAAGCATGAATTGGCCCATGTGGTACAGTTGTCCGGTAGAGACTTTTCATTCCACACCGGCTTTGCCATGGAGCCGGGGCGAGTTGTGGCATTGTGGAAACACGCGCCCAGTTCTGCATGGACATGGAGTAAGTGGACAGTTGACCAGACCCAGACACCGCTCTCTGGGCGTCGTTGAGCGGTATCTCTCGCTACCTTGTCTTCCGGTTCCTGACAAGCAGACCACGCCGTTGAAGATTGGTCGAGTGTGGTCAATCTGGCCCGTGGAGTCAGAAAGAAGAATTTGGATATAGGGCTGCATCCAGATGAGGTGGCAGCGTGACACTCCTTGCCATGCGTAGAGAGCGTTGTCCAACTCGTGTCATGCTGCTCGTGATTTGGATTCGCGTATGGTGTGCCAGGGCCATGTGCTGTGCGACGCTGCGGGTACGCCGTCCGGTTTTCGACCTGCAGAGTACTCTTTCAAGAGCGTGCAATTGTCCTGTTCTACACGTGGCTGTTACCCACCGATCGTTGGCTTCTTGTCGCGCCGTTTGCCTGCATCTCACTTCGCCCGCTCCCTGACGTGGTCGATTAGTGACGTGGAACATGTAAGTGGAAGCGGCGGCCGGGACCCGCTTCGTCCGATGCCTGACATGCAGACCACCAAGGGCAGGGAGGTGCGCCGACCAATTCTTCTGCGTCGTGTTGGCAGCTACAGCACATGTCGGTTTCTCGACATTGTTGCGTAGCGGCAGCCAGAACTTGCCGTGCAGATCATTGCGAAGTATGGGAAACCACTTCGTCCAGTTTTTGCGTCGCGTGTGGCAGCTACAGTACATGTCAGCTTCGCAACGTGGTTGCATGGCGACGGCCAGTTCTGCCGTGCTCGTTGCGGAGTGGCGGTGGCCGCATCGGCCGCCCGGGCCATCAACATTCAGACCCGGACGAATGTCGTCATGCAGGGCGCGAAGACGGACAACATGCCATTTATTCGTCCAATCTAT